GAAGATTGTGTGTGTGGTGTGCTATGTGGCTCTCATTATTAATCTTTTACAATAGTAAAGAACTAAAGCTATGCATGTATATGTGGACAGCTGCAATAATAATAATGGCCTATAAATAAGCAGGGAGAAGGCAGATCTTAAAAACCATACTACTCTGTATAGAAATACTCGCGGAATTCATATGGTTTCACTCAAGTACCTTCACATCCTCCACGGCATCCTCAAAGTTGTAACAAGGCAGAAAGCACCTCTGTAAAAGTTATTGGGCTACTCTGACGAGGACAAGCTGCAGGACACACAATCCTGTGACTTCACGACCTAAGCCACCACCAGAACGTAAAGCATGAGTGTTTTCAAATCAAGTTGTTCAGCCTCTGCTTCAAAGAGGATTCAGACAGAATCCAAATACACTGCACACTCTGACACAAAGAATTAGCCATGTGAGGCCAAGAGCACAATCTCGCCAAAAGTAAAAGTAGACGTTTGTTTTTCTCTCTTTTCTCTGTCTTTCTATGTAGCTATATCTATCTCCACTTCAAAACATCTGTGAACACTTTAAGTCCCTCTGGAAACCTCACTGGGATATATAAACACACCAGGTATGTTATTCTCACCACCAGTCCTAGGAACCCTGGCGAAAATAAGAAGCTTTATCAACAGAGATGTCGGTCAAAATAATAACACAATTAAAAAGGAACCCAAGCTAGAAAGATCATGAGCCAAAGATATCAAGTTAGTTAGAATAAGGACATATATGTCATATACGTGCACTTCTCCCTCCTCTGCCCTCAAATACAAAAGATCAAGAGGTAAGATCAACCATCTGGCTTTTGATGAGAAGTCACATCACTCTGAAACTGAGGAAAGAAGGCCTCTGTGGCCCAACAGAAGGGTTTTTATTTTGTTTTTAAATAAGAAGCAAGGCCAGGCGGTGGTGGCACATGCCTTTAATCCCAGCACTCGGGAGGCAGAGGCAGGCGGATCTCTGTAAGTTCGAGGCCAGCCTGGTCTACAAGAGCTAGTTCTAGGACAGGAACCAAAAAGCTACGGAGAAACCCTGTCTCGAAAAGATCAAAAAAAAAAAAACCATACTGGGACTGGAAAGATGGCTCAGTGGTTAAGAGCACTGCTTGCTCTTCCAAAGGTCCTGAGTTCAATTCCCAGCAACCACATGGTGGCTCACAACCATCTGTAATGAGACCTGGTGCCCTCGTCTGTCTTGCAGGAATACATACAAGCAGAATACTGAGAATACTGTATACGCAATAAATAAATCTTAAAAAAAAAAAAAGAAAACCAGACTGTTCAAAGTAAACATATTAAATATGCACCATTGGCTAACACAGTAACAAACTGGCCTTTGGAAGCTGTTATAAATGTATTTAAAAGATGACAAGGGGCTGGAGAGATGGCTCAGAGGGTAAGAGCACTGACTGTTCTTCCAGAAGTCCTGAGTTCAATTCCCAGCAACCACATGATGGCTCACAACCATCTATAATAAGATATAGTGCCCTCTTCTGGCATGTGTACATAATAAATTAATTAAAAAAAAAACCCAAAGCCGGGCGATGGTGGCACACGCCTTTAATCCCAGCACTGGGGGGGGGGGGGGAGGAGAGGGGGATCTCGGTGAGTTAAAGACCAGCCTAATATACAGAGCAAGTCCAAGCACAGGCTTAAAAGCCAAAGAGAAACCCGGTCTAAAAAAAAAAAAAAAAAAAAAACAAAAAACAAAACAAAACAAAAAAAAAAAGACGTTATCTCACAAGTCATTATTTTCTAAAGATATTTTTAAAAGTTAGACCCTGCCTGGGTTTGGTGACATGTGCCTTTACCCCAGCATTCAGGAGACAGGCAGGTTCCTATGAGTTCAATGCCAGTCTGGTCTACACAATGAGACCTCTTCTAAAAATAAAACCCAAGAACCTAACTTGGATATACACTACATGTCTCTGTGAACAAGTTCAACGGTAGTAATTAGAGAGTTAAATAAGGAATATTGTACTATGATGTAAAATAAAGAAAAACTAAGATCACTTATAGCATTTACTGAGAAGATCCAGATCCTGCTGGTCTAGTAAGGTAAAGTATATTACTGTATGTTATTAAGACACTCATGATATAAAATTTAACTTAATAAAATTAAATCAAATAAGTTTCATAGTTCTATTCTTTTCAAACATCATAATGTAAGTCACTAAAATAGTTTTAAAATACAGTTCAAGACTATCTTCTATTTTCATATTCCATTTTATAATGCAGGGAAAAAATTATTTGCTGAACTAGTAAAACTGCCAGATTAAAGAATTACTAACCCAGATCAAATACCTTTCTTTTTTTTTTTTTTTTTTTTTTTGGTTTTGGTTTTGGTTTTTCGAGACAGGGTTTCTCTGTGGCTTTGGAGCCTGTCCTGGCACTAGCTCTGTAGACCAGGCTGGTCTCGAACTCACAGAGATCCGCCTGCCTCTGCCTCCCGGGTGCTGGGATTAAAGGCGTGCGCCACCATCGCCCGGCTCAAATACCTTTCTTAATGAAAGAGAAACTGAAAGACAGCGGCTCCCTGGCCTCCACTCCCCTTACCGAGCCACCAAGCCAACCATGAGGATCATGTCACTTCCTCAAGACAAGCTTGCAGGGTTAAGATGAAGGCCTCAAAGAGTGCTTCCAAGCAGAGGGCAGTGTTGGCAGGTTTACTGCAGGCTTCCTGCACATCCTCCCACTGAGTCACCCAGGCTATGGCAGTCCATTCTCAGAAAACAGGCTCGATGTCTGTGACACCTCAGTCCCTTCTGCTAGGTCCACACAATTGTCAGTGACTTACTTCTTGTTAAATATTTATCTAAACGGCACCCAAAATGCCAAGACTGTTGAATTGAAGGAAACAAAACCCTCAAAATCGTCACTCCAACTCTTCTAAGAAGTACTTGAGATAAGCAGCTCTGTACTCTGCTCAGAAGACCTGTATTTCCGTTCACTCCTCACTTGGGAACAACCACAGTCACTCCTGCTTTCTCCCCTGGTATGCCCCCACCATGAGAATTGAGATTATGTTACATGACTACAAGTGCACTGGTGCAGACACCCATACACCACCCACTAAAAATAAGCAGCAAACAACCTTCAGACAACCTACTATGTTCAAATGAGTTGTAAAACACACACTTCCAAAGCTTACTGTTAATAACTTCTTTGATTTCCTTGGAATACAGGGTCTCTAGATAGTGACAAAAATGGAAATGGAAGCAGTGCTAATGCCAAATAATCACACCTAAATAAATTGTAAAGATACACTTAGTCTTATGAGTAATTGTTGAAGAAATGCTTTATTTCTCTTTTAATCTACGTGTTGTAAGCAGCTCAAGGTAGCTTGAGCTTCACATATACACAAGGAGGTGTCAATAGAAGAAGCCTGGTAGACACAGGTCATTACAATGAAGTAATTCTAGTTCAGAATAAACTCACAGAATAGGTGCACTCCTTGGTGTTTTGGAAAGACATTCTAGAGCACTGAGCCGTCAATTCCGACCTGTGACTGGGTGGTGTTAGTGCAGAGAGTTGTCCAAGTGCATGCCTGTGTGTTGGGTTGTTTAGTCAAACCCCAAGTCCTCATCCATTTGTTGAAATGCAACCATTTTATATTTTTTAATTGCAGACTTGAAGAAGACTAATGTCTAATCAGACCTCCAAGCCAAGTAATGAGGCAAATTCGCCACCACTGAAGGCTGAATGCCCACCAACAACAGGAAAGGGTATACTTCACCATAAGAACCACAGAGCACTGACAGAGGCCTTGTTCTTAAACAGGCTAACCTTTCATAGCGTTTAATAGCCTTATGCACATCGTGCAGTGTTGAAATAAGAGCGGCTGGGCTGCGTCCCCAACACCCCGGCCGCTTGGCTAGCTCATGCCCGAAATAATAACACACAAACTGTATTCATTTAAGAACTGCTTGGCCCATGAACTCTAACCCTTAAAGGCTAATTCTCGCACCTGGACTAGCCCATTTCTAATGATCTGTGTAAGCACCCCAAGGTGTGCTCACCGGGAAGATTCTAGCCTAAGTCCATCGTGGGTTGGAGTTGCTTGGGAGAGCTGAGCATGGCGTCTCTGCTCCAGCAGAGCTGTCGGGTCTCTCCAGAAGCAGAGCAGAGTCTGACCTCACTTCCTCTTCCGCCCAGCATCCTATCCTGTTTATTCCGCCCACCTATCTTTTAACCTATCAGGACCAGCAGTTTCTTTATTGCTCAGCCAATGAAATCAACAGATTGATATATGACACTCCCACATCAGTGCAGATTATTTTGTTTGTACTTACAGACTGAATCTAAGTGCACTTTAGATACTCACATTCCACTGTTTAACAGCTTCATTCAGCCCTAACTATAAAGCAGCAGTGTTCTAAGGACTGAGGACGCAGCATCAAACAGACCCAGCCCCTGTGTTAAAGAAGCCTAAGTTCTCAGGGAGAGGGGGTTTAGAAATGAAGATGTAAAGGGAGTATTAAGGGTTAATAAATATCATCAACATACAGTATGAATGTGTAATAAGAGCTACTAACAAAAAAGGCCAAAAACAGGACTTCACAACACCCAACTATCCACTAACATTGAGATTTGCTGCCAAAAATCTATAGCAATTTTTCTTTTCTACATTATGCCAGTTTAATAACAAGCAAACAATATTTTACATAAAAAATAAGCGAAAACATTTTTCCAGGCTCTAAAGTTAAAATTTAATGAACTAACTAATCAACTTGTCTAGCATGTATACTTAAGACTCTTTCCAAATGGAAACTGAGCAACAACAAACACATGGTGTTTCACCTTCAGAAATCATTTTAAGACATTCAAAATGAACTTTCACAGCAGACACATGCAGGAAAATTGGTAAGTTCTGTTCTCTTTTCATTTACATCCATGTAAAATACTTAATCTTACAAAAAGTCATCACAACATAAAAGACTCAATGCTTGTGCCTGTACAACATAATAAAGACTCACCTGTGCCTGTACACAGTGCAGAAGATCTGTTCATCTGAAGCCAAATCTGAGCGGAATCTGCAATATGAACAAACAAACAAACATTAATGAAGAGAGAAACTCGCTGAGCTCATCAGCAGGTAAGATGTTCACAATCAATACACAGCTAATACTTGTGCATCACTCCCAGTGCACAAGCAACATTCACTAGTCAGCCCTACACTGAACTGCACAGCGAGCCAAGAAGTGTAATGACCTCGGCATCACTTCTACTGGCGTAGAACAGGACAAAATATACAAGGAACAATGCACTGGGAATGACAGTTCTCACAGCTACATTTCAACTGCTATCCAATGGGCAGCTCTCTCCACCAGGTTGAAGATGGACGGCCGCAGCACAGGCGGTACGGGATACCCTGTGGATTGCATCTATTCTGATTTGGTATGATAGACCACGCCCTCCTGAAAGGTTGCTGTGAATACCCTCAAAAAATTGCTTTGCTCAATTGCCAACTGAGATGAAACTAGCACACAGGTTATATCATGAACGACCTAATTAACGACGCCCCTATTCAGCAGGAAGCAGTTTGGAGAGAAAAAAACTACACCCATGTTCCCAAATATTGTTTATAAATGTTCTTTTACATTTAAAGGGGGATATGATATAGATATAAATAATTTGCATTGGTATGGATTTTATGGTCGATTTTGTTATATGTATATGTATTTCTGATCTTGATTAAGGTATTGTGATTGTGTAGTTCATTTTAAAATGTACTGTATAATTAGGAAATATAGGTTGTTAATGGATAATAGTCAAGCTTGTAGTCATGTTAGTTAGATTTTCTAGATATATAGAGATATCTTTCAGTTAGATAGGCATTCTTCATATCTTTCAAAGACTGCAGAATATGGCATTTTAAATGTTTTAATAACTTAGGGCTTTTCATGACAATGAGACACGTCTGCTCCTGGCAGCACCAATCTACTTCAAAAGGAAGATGGGCATCGAAGAGGATCCTTATGGAGTTTGATAGCCATTTGGGCAAGAAACTGCTCTTGCCTGGACTGTTGCATAAACTGGACACAGAGAACCCGCAGAGAGAGGACTGCTGAACTTGCCTAAAGGTGAGATGGTCTTTCGGGGTTCCTGATTCATGAAAGAGTCTGCGAGACATTCTGCAGGACACAGCAGAAAATGACTGAACTGTCTTTGAAATTTCCTGCTTCATGGAAATGTCTCTGGATACCATGGGCCTGTAGGCCGAAGATGGATGCCCCAACGGTACAGAGGAACTTTGGGTGACTGTCCAGGCAGCGAGATGTCTCTGTCATTTCTAGAGTTTTCTTATTTCTTGTTTACTTAGGTAGTATTATATCCTTCTGGAGTCTTTGATGGAGTTGAAGAATGAATAGATAGTTATAGTTTTCCTTAGTTATGATAAGAGATAAAATAGATATAAATATTGTAACTGTAATTCTTACTTGATAACTGTTTTGTTATATGTAATTTTACTATGTTAAAGTTAAAGCCTTTCTTTTTTGTTTAAACAGAAAAAGGGGAAATGATGTGGGAATGGTTTCTTATTAATAAAGAAACTGCCTTGACCCATTTTATTGGATAGAAAATTAGGTAGGCGGAGTATACAGAAGAGAATTCTGGGAGAAAGAAGGTTAGAGGAGGAGTCGCCATGATTCTCCCGCTCCAGACAGACACAGGTTAAGATCCTCCCTGGTAAGCCAGCTAGCGGGCTACACAGAATATTAGAAATGGGTTAGAACAATATGTAAGAGCTAGCCAATAAGAAGCTGGAACTAGCCGGGCCAGGCAGTGTTTGAAAGAATACAGTTTCCATGTAATTATTTCGGGCATAAGCTAGCCATGTGGGTGGCCGGGTGCCGGGGACGCATCCTCGCCGCTCCTAATTCAACAATGTAGTAATTGTAGCATAAAAATGACGGAACAATTTGCTATCTGAAGAAAAGTCTATTGGAGTAAAGGGTGTACTCCATGTATACGCACAGACCCAACCATAATGGTGGGTGACAATTGTTTTGCTGCTTCTAAGCAATCAGGTTAACAGGCTAGAGAGACATCCCTGCAGTTAGGAGCACCTGCTGCTTTGTAGCAGGCCTAGAGTTCAGGTGCCAGCACCATCTCTCCAGCCTGTTAACCTAATTGCGGGCTGAGAGATAGATGAGGAACAGTATCGTCTTTTATTTTGTTGATAAGTGATTATAAACAAATCTAGAGGAAGCAAATTTAGCCGCAGAAGAGAATGAAGTGACAACTGTAATAGTGACCAAAGGGCATTTAATATACCTGGAGAGAAAGAGAGACTGTACTTTATTTGTGTCAAAAGGAACCACCGGCAGCACTACTGGACTCTCACTGGGTGAGCACACGGTACAGCATCACCTGTGTTTCCATCTGCACACCCGTAAGGCAGCTCTAGCCCATGCTGTTCCCGAGGCGTGCCTTGGGAGCAAGGTACGTGGCTGCCACACCTGCGGGGTGTTCACAGAAGGTCACTGCTTTGATAATTCTATCACTTTTTGCTAACCTAACAAGAAGGCAGCGATCTGAGCCCCTGAAAACAGTTTTCCTGTGATTTCTGATGCCACACTGTGAAGAGACTAGCATTCATGTTTTTCCTGAGTCCTATGCCATGTAATTTTCTCAAAGTTGCCACCAACCAAAGGAAGCCATTTCCTATTGAGCGGAGTAGTGCCATGTGTGAAAAAGGTGCTGGGCCACCTGAGTCAACTTCCGGCATTTCTGACATACACCGGAAAAGCCAACACTGGCTATTACGAAGACATCAGTGACTGACTGGCCAAAGGGTGCCGGACAACTGCCACCCTGCATGTTCCTACCAAGGATCTTAGACTGGCCCCTGTCAAGCCATCACCACTCCAGTCACCAAGACAGGCAGGGAGGCTGGTAAACGCTGAAGACACACAGGGACAGAGAAAGCTGCAGAAGGACACTTGAAATTCTTTAACAGCTTCAGTCACATACAACTATATGCCCACAGTCTATGATGTGTGGTTGCTTAATTTTTTCTATTGAGATCAAAAACATAACCTACCTCGTAAAAATTAAAGCCAGATTTTTAACTTAGTGTGCTTCCAATCATAGGGTCATCTTCAAGAAAACTACACACACGCACACATATATATACACACACAGATTTTATAATATATCCTAAAATATAGAGTAATAAAAACTTTAGTGAAAAGAAGAATCAATGCTGCATCATAAGACTTACATACACTGGACTAGGCGCCGTTCGCCTAGCACAGAAGGTGGGGGTGGGGTGCTAGACTATCACTCTTGAAACAACTGCCTCTGCTGGACTCTACCTTGTTTATGATCTCCTGCCTCAGCCTCCTGAGGCGCACATTATGTCAGGAAAGCTCGTTATTCTTGCTTAGTGACACAAAAGTCCATCTCATACTTGCTGAGCTGAATGTTTAGAAGAGGACTAACGATACTAAATTCAAAGACTAATCTGAAAACCTAAATTAGAAGTGGTTAAGATCTTCTGAGCAAAGCATACAAAGAAAGGACAGTTATAGGCTTGGAGCTAAGCCCAGAGAAACACCAACACCAGAAAATAAGCGCAAACAAAGTAGCTAACAGGTGGAAGGAAGGCCAGCAGGTCGGGGCGGGGCACGCAAGACGAGATGCACATTGTTCCATTCCAAGAATTGAGTCCCTACCTGATTTGATAATAAGAAAGTACTGGTCCCTTTAAAACAACAGTATTAAACAAAAAGAGAAAGACAGATAAGGCGAATGAAAAAGAAATAAGGATCTGAACCCAGCAGGTGCAAATGACCACTACCATTACATTCTCTTCCTATCTGCATGGGAGCTCTCTTGAGGACAGGGAAAGGCAGCAGCCATCCTTGAGGCGATCTTGGGATTTAAAGCACTCTGAACCCTATTCACAAGGCTCAGGCTAGCTTCCCACCATCACTAGAACATGTCACATGGATAACCACACCAGGCTCCACAAAAACTGTTTACTGTCTTTAGATCAGTCATGTGGACAATCTCAAATTATAAATTCCCTTCAGACATTCTCCTTCTTCTAGTTTTTTTTAATTCCTAATTATTGTTGATGAAATCAATCACACTAAAAAATAAATGAACCCTTAACCCTTCCTTTTATATTGCTGAGTTTAAGGTAGACAAGCCTGTAAGATACTTCAAAACTACCCAAAATATAGGATATCTTTAAACAAAGAAGTAGCAAAAAAAAAAAAAAAAAGGATCAAAAGTTAACATTCAAACCCATGATCTCTCCATACAGGCTAGGGACAATCTTTAACTCCCAACACACCCTCAACAAGCAGAAGACACCTGTCTATCAAAGATCTCTCTGTCAAATGATGTCACTGTCACCACATATCATCTCAATAGAATAAATGGAAGCTACACACACACACACACACACACACACACACACACACACACCCCAACAAGGAGAGCAGCAGGTGAAAAGGTTGACTATCCCTTTCCTTGCTCTTGGCACCTCCCCAACAAAACCTGGTCTGGATTTTGAAGTTTTGGATTCCAGTTGCTTGTGCTGTCCTATGGGTAACATATTTCTCTACTCATCCTGAATTAAAAGAGATTTTATGAATCCAAGAACAATAAATCCTAAACACCATATCTTAACGTACTGCTTGTAAAAAGGCATGACAGTTTGAGAATTAATAGACAAAACATCTAACAACACAAAGTGCAAACCTACGGAGAGCAGTAAGGCACCTCGGTGTGTGCATACAACGGGAATACAACAGGGCCACTGGGAACCCCAGCACTCAAACATTTATCATTAGTTTGTACTGGGAATAAATCTTCTTTACAAGTTGTTTTCAAATCTATAGGAACAACCAACCACAGCATTCCTCGAGTGCTATAGAAAGGTAGAGCTTATCCCCCCCCCCCCATAGTAGCCACTAGCTGTCCCTTCCAGGAACCACTATTCTAATCTCCAGGTCAATGAGATCAAGTTTTAAATTACCACACATAAGTGAGAACATATGGTATTTGTCCTTCTGTG